ATAATTTTAAAACAATTCTTTAATTGTAATTTTTTAAACGTTTTATTCTTGCCATTAATTAATTATTATGAGCAAAAACAAAATTTATTTTTTTGAATAAATAACTCGGTCTTTTCTTGTATTTTTTTGTATTTTGTCCGGCTTAATTGAGGCTATTATACTGTCCAAAATTAAGACCGAAGCCTGTTTTTACCGACTGCAAAGACTTAAAACATATTTGATAACAAATTCTTACTTATAATGCATTCAAAACTTAATACACAAATAATACTGGTTGTTCATTCGGAAATCGACCTTCAAGCGACACTGACATTGCTACCGGAACAACAACACTTCCTGCAACACGTTCTGACCAATACTGAACTCTACAGCTTCCTTCATATTAAATTACCTTTTTATTGCTATTAACGATTATTTCTCACCATATTTAAAAAATGTTTATCATTACTTACTCTCAAAAACAACAAGTTATTTTTAAAAGTAAGTAATGACATCGCTTGTTAGTTAATCCAATCCCCTTCCCATGTACAACTTTGAAGGAATTAGTACTGAAAATTGTATGGTCTTTAATCTTAATTTATGCGATGGTATTATCTATATTAACATTTCAAGAATGAGCTCTACTTTTTCGGTAGATCTTTAAATAAGAAGATATTTGTATACAGAATAAAAACTTATTTTTGATGACACATGTTCTATTTGAACATGATCATAATACGACTTATTATTTAAGTTTTTTTGTAGGAAATTTTCCATTGATATACCAGTTAAAATACTTGTATGTATCTATATTTTTACAGTTAAAATATACGACAGCATCAAGATTCAAAAGCAGCGCTTTAAGCGAATATAGACCAAGGGAAGTAATATACATTATGTTTATAAAATGTCGTATGCTCTGGAACTATTGGATAGTTTATCTGAGTATCGACTGTACTATAACTAAAAAACCCTTAGGAAATGGAAAACGTAAGTACGCTGTAAGTGGGTGACCATGGCTAAAGACTCAGGAACTTCCGACTGAATTCGGCCTTCTAAATACCACTTATATGCAACATTTTGGCTTGCATTTATAATTTAAAAAAATTAAGAGTTAAATTTCAAAACTGGACAACGTATTATATTTTTTCAAATAACGAATGCGTTTAACCCAAATTTCACAATTTATAAATTATATTAGCACTCATAATTACGTTTACATTGACATAAAAATTACCCTAATTTTTATGTTTATTTGTATGTTTATAACGTTGGAGGTTCAAGTCACTAATTTAAAGTTAAAGTGCGACTTTAATAACTAAAGGTGTGCTGTGTTGAAAATAGCCGCCTTGGCCAACATATGGGCCGATGAACTCTACTTCAAGAGTAAGAAACTCAATTTGTTCGTATAAAACTTAGTTTATCTTACATCGCTGCCATTGACGAATGCTCTAGAATTTTTTCGAGTACAAGTCATTAATAACAGAAAAGAAAGTGTTACATTTTAATAATCTCTTAATTAAATTAATAAAAATGGAACAGAAATATATTTTTAAGTTTATAATCTTAATGATTTAACAAAAAAAAACAAATTGGGTTGCCTTTTAAATAATAAAAAAACAATCTTATCTGCTGATGTCCTACTTTAGAATAAGCCAAAACCAAAGGTCATTGTTTTTTTACTAACATATATTAAAGCTCTTAAATCTATCACTTCAATCCGGATAGAAGGAACTAACAATCAATTTTCGACTTTCTCCAAGCCTATTGTGTCAAGATTCGCTGAATGAAATGTAACAATGGATAAAGCTTTTGCCGTGCCTCGATTTGATGTATTATTTTGCTCGGCTTTCTCTTCAAAAGATTTAGCTAAATCTATGCACCAAATAATACTAAAGAGTACTAAAAATGTATTAGCAGATTATAACACATTCAGTGCATCGTCTGGCCTACATTTCATATGAAATGATCACGGTGGCAATTAACTTGTAAAGCCAAATAACAAAGTTAGAGAAACAAAAGGAGTAAGGTATCTTCTCATAGCCTCACAGCGGTCAATCGTGAGCCTTGGTATAGAGAGACGCGTGTTATCTTTGCAACTTCCTTCTGATGCTCCGTCACATATCACGTTTCAAGTTCAACGGTTATATATTATACATTAGTATGCATACAATGCAAGGAAATAAAAGTAAATAATAGAATAAGAATTGTGTACTGCAACTGCTATCATGCTAAATTAATCGATAGAAAATATCCGATATTTTCAACCACTTTATTAAGTGTTTTGTGAACAAATTCATTTTGCAAGCTTTTACATTGAACACAAAAGATTGCGATGAAAATATCATTGTTTACAAAAGAGAAATAAACAATTGACGGTCCAATAAAAAAATGTTTTATAATATTGAATCCTAAATTCGTGAATGCTAAATGTAAAATTTTATAAAAGAAATTAATTTCTACCATACGATTACATTTTCTGTACCCTCATTCAAACCTACGCTAAAATTTCCTTAAACAAGGTTTTTAAAAATTAAAAGTCAAACACATTTAATATTGTCAAAAAGATTTAACCTTCACATAAATACGGAAACGTATAAAGTTCACAGCCTCTACGCAGTACCGTTTACGACGCACGCTTTGCTCTTGGCTTAAGAATAATAATATTTTTTTCGCTTCAATTATGCGACACTATCAAGGTCTTTGACTCATTCGAGTTTATTTTGGTGTCTAACTAGATTTCGTTTGTCTTTGTAGCATACGTAATAGATGTACAGAACATTGCACCCGCTTAACGAACTTAGTAACTCTGTGAAAGTTTAAAAAGAAAACGATTAGTTAGAAGAAACTTCTTTTACTTTAGTTTGTTTCATTGGAGTACTACTTTTATATCAACCACAGGTATAATAAACTTGAAGGTTGTTCGGCGATATACTCAAAAAAACAAACTTTGTCGCGGCTTTACATGTTTTTGATTATCTGCTTTTATTTTTGGATATAAAAAAATAATTAAAATTTTTCATTCACTATGCTTTCAATGTCCGGTGGAAATGCACGTCGATTCTTATCAATCGTACGTCGTAACCAACTCCTACGTCAATCGATTACAAATTGCATTGATGACGCAGAATTTCCCACTCGTAGCGTACCATTATTTATGTGAATCATAACTGCTAAAAAGAAAATAAAATATTATACTTTTTAGTCAATAGTGATTTCATGTATTGGAATAAAAGTTTTTAGGATTTTCGAATCTTATACATCGGATTATTGGATTTATAAAATTCACTTTTATCTTTATCTTAATAAACATAACTTTTACTTAGCATTGCAATTGTAATTTATAAGTTATTGCGTAGGTCTATGAAAGTAATTATTGTGTATTCATTCATGACAAAACATTGTGAACTTCATGTAAACTAAACACGAAGAGACGCATTAGTCTTTGCTATTAAGTCTTACACGTTTAAACCAAAAACATTAATGCTAAGATTCGAATAATCGTCCGTCAAATTACAAGTCGGACATTGACCTGTTAGGTTATAACTGCAATAAAAAGTGTAATTATTTAATTATACGTTTTCTCCAAATTAAAAGAGGAACAATTACAAGAAAGCTGTTTTCAGTGTATCGTCCTAAATATCGGCATACTTGTACCCATCATACTTATAGCAGTTTAAAGGGTGTAAATGTCAGATCAATTAGCCACTATTAACTGAATAGCATACCCTTCTGGCATACCTTATTGTGGACGAGGAGAAAGTTCGACGCTTGGATGGGCACGTTTTCTTTTATGGTTTCCCAACTAGATTCTTGAGGTCTTTTATTTTTTTTAATCTTTACGTGCTTTCTTTTATAAAAAGCAATTGAATGAATATTTAACAGTATTCAATAAACTGTTTTGTATATTTATTTGTACGTTTTTAAATAAGTTAAGAAATCTTTTTCTTATGAGCACATGACGATTGTGAGCTCATAAAATTCATATGACCGTGAATTTACGTAAAAAACATGGCCGTCGAATTCCAATACGTTATCAGGGTTATAAAACGTCACACATAGTAAATGAATACCGCACGGGATCGGAATAAAACTTTGTGTCATGCATTGAAACACGTAGTTTGCATTATTGCTACTGCATAAAAGAACCTAATCAGAACGACGCATTTTAAAAATATACGTAAAGAATAACAATAATTTCATTTTAAAACTATCGTAATCAATGTTCTATTCGATAAGCTTTAATTAAAAAATGTTAACTCTTTAACTTTTTAAATTAAATTAATCAAAGTTTGAAGAGTTTGCGGGATTATGCGTATTATTGTAATAAAATATTAAAATAAATTATAGGAGTTGCAACTAAAAAGTTATGCAAGATCGTTACCCGTCTATAATAGGACCTTATTTTATAAGAAAGCCTGAAATGCCTCCGGGATGTCGTAAGTGACATTGTATTCTATTACATTAAAACAAAAAAGATTGACTTCCTAAATAGACTCATCCATTTATTTACATTACTCTTATAGGTTATAAAGATCGACTTTGTCCTTAAGGTCTTCAATAAACCAGGAAAGATCATCGTGATCAGTCAACAATGGTTACCATTGGACTTCTACGTATTTCACTCACGTTGGTTTCCTCACGAGTTTTCCTTCACCTTGCAGGCACATAAATTGTCCTCACATCGTACCACAATTTACCCACGTACTATGATAATTAATTCTTCATTACGATCAGTAAACAGACTTTACTGCTTTGTCTTTTGTAGTTTGTAGACAGCAGTGTTTTTTAGTTTTTAACATTTGACTTGAGTTAAAAAATACAAACACCAATTAAGTTTTTCACGGATCAAGGAGTTTTGATTCCGATGTTGTTAGTGATATTAGATTTTATTGGATTCGTATACAATTTTTTTTTATATTTAGCCCAAGATTCTTGTTTTCTCTAGTACTGATTTAAAAATAATCATTTCTCATACCTAAGACTTCATTTATAATAATGTTTTTCTTTTTTATCAACAGGAATAATGACACTCAGCCGCGGCCCGTGTGACCTCGACAACATGAGTCTGTTTCAAGACCTCAAATTAAAGAGGCGGAAAGTTGACTCCCGATGTAGTAGCGATGGTAAGTTTCTTTTTTAATACCGTGGTAGTTACTCAGTGGTTAAACAGTTCGAGAAATGGTTACATCTATTTTAATTTTTAATGATATTATTGAAGTTTAATTCTCGCCTTATTTTTGATGTTCCTCAAAAGAAGCATACAGATTCAAATCGTTAATCAAACATTTAACCACTAAGGTATGATTAAACATTTTAATTATTTTTTATTATTATTTTATAAGAATTATGTTTCTTGCAAGAAAAAGAGCACCTGCGTTTTTTCGAATTAAAAACTAGTTTTAAGTTTTTACTTTTTAAATCTTTAAAGACGAAAGTATTACTGTGTCCATGTTCTACTGATATTACTCGAAATACAATCGACTTAATTTAATTCGTTATATATAATACTTCAAAAAATTTATAAGTGCTTCTAATATTTAAAAATTAAAAATAGCTTATTCGATATTTATAAGGAAATATAAATATATAGTAAAAGAATTTTGAAGGCATCTCATGAATTTGCATGACGGAGCAATGGTATAAACAGTCGCGGATATTTGACTGGCCTGGATTGTATAAATTCGGGGAGCTTTACGACTTAGTGCTACTGGCCCAATGCCTACCAGGCCAATGTCGGTCGAAATTTCAAGGCAACGAGACAAACAAACAACACAGACAAACTTATAGATGATTATAATATGTAATCTGTATTATTATACAGAATATAATTCTATTGAATATATTTTGGTAGCACAATTTTGATTAACAAATTAAAATCTTTAAAAAAAAAAACAGGCCAAAAAATCTTGTTTCTTTAAGATGGCCAGTTAATAAATTTCAAATTAGAATGTTTTTGAAAATGTGTTTGGTTGTTTTAGAATATATTTAAGTTCGAAACTCAAAATTTATTTTTAAATTTCGAACAAATTATGATTTATTGGTTCGTCGTACATACAGAGATATATTTCTTTGCCAGTATAAACAATGTACGACAATGTAACAGTGTAAGGTCAGGAACGATGTCTATTGTTATTCGAGATGTGTTCACTGTTGCCGTTCAACTCACGGCGTGCCTGTCACTTTCGAATGCGATGGTGAATTCACATCGTTACCCGTAATTTCATTTTCATTCGGACGTGATTATATTAAATTAGACGTTAGATCGGTTTATTGCTGTTATATTGTTTGAATAGCTGGCTAGTTACATACTACATTTCAAATTTAGATACCAAATAAAGTCTTATTTCTTACTGATAAAAATGAGAATGTTTAGATGGATGGGTGGATGGATATTTGCTTAAAGGTATCTCAAGAACGGCGGCATGGATCTCGCTAAAATTTGGCATAGATGTAAAACAGATCCTGGAAGAACACATAGGCTACTAATGAAGTTTTTTTTTAATTTCGTGAGACGTGAAGACGGAGTTCTTGGCGACAGCTAGTTCTTAATATATTATCAGTTATTTAGCTATTTACGTAACTTTTATATTTAATAATAATTTAAATTTTACTTTCTAATACACGGTAACATCGAACTAATCAAAGTTCGATAAAAAAAACTATAAACACTTCATATAATATTATGCAAGACAAATTTCAAACATATGTTCGATAACTGTCGTCATCAACGGAAAGTTGAATAATAACCGACGCCAAGCTTGTTTTTGCGTGAGAGAGTATCAACAGGTTCCGAGAAATGCTCCGACTTTCACTTGAAACTGAATAAAAATCATCCGAAACAATATCCGGTTTGACGAGTTCGTAGCACCGTACAATGTCATATCGTTTAAAAACATATAAAAATACACTTACTTTTATCTATATACTTAATGTATATCTTTATATTTAAATATTTAAATTTTCATTTTATTACTAAAGCGCACGTTTTCGGCCGTTCGTAGTTTCTTTTTTTCTTAATTTTTAGATATCTCCGACAAACAAGCTGCCAGATTTTGCAACATTTTTGCAAACAAAAAATTTAATACATAAGAATTTAAAAACAAGAAAAATTACAAAATGTTTCACGAAATACTGTTGTCGCGTACGTCTATTACATGGCAACATCGTAATCGAACTTCACTTCCCTTCTTGATTTAAATTTCGCCAACAGATTGGCTCGATTATTCTGTGCTACTTGCATCAATTGGCGTCTAGAAAATTCCTTTCAACGGATATCACAATAGATATTAGTTAAAAGAACTAGCGCTACTTTATAAGAAACTAGCTATTGCCCGCGACTTCATCTGCGCGGGAACAAAAACTTAATTAGTAAGCCTTTATGCTCTACATCTATGCCAAATTTCAGCGAGATCCATGCAACCGTTCTGGAGAAACCTTCTAACAAAGATCCACCCATGTACATAAATATTCCAATTTAAAATATTAGTAAGATTAATTTTATATTAACTATAGTTTTCGGGCTTTGTCCGCGTAGAGAATGAACATTTATAAAAATCCGAAATAGGTACTCATAATTAAACAGAATAATGGAATATAAGTGCAAAAATATTAAGATATGTGATCATTCACTTTTTACACATTTATATGATGGACTACGTCATTAAGAATTGCACAGTAAAAAGCGATAATGCGACTACGCAAACCATCTTATGACGAAATGCGAGTTACGAGTCGCGTATTTTAAAATCGATTCTTGACGCATACAATAAAAAGAATAAACGTCAATCGATTTATCACGAATATTTTTTCTCGATCTCGATTAGTAACAAAACACTTTTTACAGTTTAACATATTCGTTGTATAACAACGTACGAGGTGAAGACATATTGATAAAAAAATTTACGTAAAACCACGAGAGGTGAAAGCAAATGAAGATCGATGCCGTAATTATTGTTATTGTAACCTCGTGAATAAATCAAAAGAGAAAGATTTATTGTCGGACAACGATCTCTGTTTTATATTCAAAATTCTCGTTTACAATGGACGTATAATATCATAAGATAAAGGCTTAAGCTCGCTTAATGCTATTTCAGTTAGCATAAATTACAGTTGCATTTTTGGGTCTTTCTTAATGAATCCTTTTATTATATCAAAAGTTGTCCAATATCCAGTTTACAATGTAGAATGCTCGAATGGGACATGTTTGGTTTACTACGCAAAAATAAACGAAATCAAAACATTTGTTATACTTTGATACACGAAGGAAAAAAATAGGTCAAGCGCTTACCAATTATTTATAGATTCGCTTGTACCTATTTAGATAACGGATTGGCGTGACGTGACATCGCGTCGGGAGGCGTGTTAGGGGTGTGACGTGATGTGACGCAAGCCCAACGTCAGCGTGACGCACCCCTAGCGCTCGTCTCGTATTTTTTATCGAGACTTATTGTGCATCATTCAACATCATTCAAATATTTCTAATGTTATGCAGTTTTTTTATAGAAGGAATATACACAAATTACATTCTTAAATTCTATTTACAAAAAATGATATTTATGTAGTATCAAAAATACTTTAAATTAAATTAATTAAATAATTTTGTCAACGTGTCTACACACGTTTAATTAGTCGAACTTAGTGAATTATTAAGAATAGATTTTTAAAACTAATATTGTAAGGCAAATAATAGAGTATAATTTACGAGTCAACGTATTCATAGAGCCGAAGGTTCACCGATAGCGAATGGCCATGAGTAAACTACTACGCGTTTTTGTACTTGTGCAATTGCTACTACCAAGCAACTTATACAGTGCAGAAACACTATTATAAAAATACTAAAGAGTTTGTATGTTTGCACGCGATAATCTCGAAAATTATGATTCAAATAATTTTTGGGTGTTACAGTTCATTTATTTAGGAAGGCAATTATATGTATAATATCACGCTTAAGCTTTAAGGAGACGCGCAAAAAGGAAAGAATATTAAATCGGATTTCACTTAAAATAGCCAGCGAGGTGTGTGAAACGGTGAGGCACAGTTGGTATTCGTACTTTTGGTAAATAATAACTAATACAGGTACCATGCGTTTCCGTCAACCTACATATCTTCAAGAATTTAAAATAAAAGTTAAATTGTTCGAAGATCAAAAAAGTTAAATACATATATAGTAATTAAAATAATCATTTCCGTGATGTTATTTATTCAATCTATGCCGGAAATAAATGATGTACAGTATATTAAGGGAGGTCTGACAACCCTGTCGCAAAAAGAGCGCGCCGGGACACGTGGCGCCGAGGGCCGCGCCTCCTCACGTAGGGGTGTGACCCACTTCTCTCCGTGTCGCTGACCGCTAGCGACCTTCGAGTATGCATTCTCCGATAAAACGACTCTTTCACCGAAGCGGATTTCATATAACGTAATCAACTTTATCGTTGTCTATTTTAAGACACGAGATTTATGCGTAGTGCGTGCGTAATGCAAATATATCTGTCGATACGACTACCTACTTTAAAGCATTATACTATTATATAGTTAAAACATAAATGAAAAGTAACCGTAAATGGCTTGTCGTTCGGCGGCGGCTTAGAGAATCAAAATAGTGCATTTATCTACGTGCCTACCAAGCCTAGGGCCTCGGTCGTATTGCATCACGCGGCTAGAAAGATCGGTCCCCACCAGCGATGTGGCAAAGGACGCGGAGTGAAATAGAGATCGTCCTCGAAGCGAGAGCGGTGCACGCGTTGCGGCGTCATTGTGCGGCCGCTCGGCCCGTCGCCGGCACGCGGTGACCTAATACCGGCTGGAGGGAGACCGGGAAGTGGCGCGGGGCGCGCGCTCGTGCGGTAGGTCGCGCTCACTGCGCGCCCGCGACGCCGCGCCCGCCGCGCCACCCGCGCTCCAAGCTGCACGCTGCACGCTCGAAAACTTTCTTCGCTTTTCCTCGCGTAAACAAAACCGCGAAAAAATCATTATCGATTGACGCTTTTAGGATCCATCGATATCCTCAATCCCGTGATATATCATTATTGGCTCATCACTACGTATCATTTTCATGCATGAGACTACCAATACTGCTGACTTCTAAAAAAATCAATCGGTGAACAGTTATGTGACGGACGGTAACGGTAGCCTCTCCATGTCGAAGGACCGGCTGTGAATTGCTATGTAATCCTCTCGCCAAGCAAGGGTTACGGAGACGCATATGGATTTAGTATTAAAAAGTCGGTAAAGTTGTTAATTTTAAATTGTTATTTTTTTGTTTACCATTACTATTTTATTGAACTTTTGATATTTTTCATATTTTGTGCTAAAATTGTTAATTTCTTTGGAAACAATAATTATGATTTTCTCATATGGACATAATCTCGGAATTTTTTACCACGTTAGAAATAAAATTGTTATAGATATTAATGTATTAGATAGCGTGACGTAGATAGAGCCCTTTGTGCGAGCGCGGCGCGGCTCAGCGCAGCGCACGCTTCCGGGCGCCGCATCTGCGCGCGCGCCGCTTTCACTTTCTCCTCGCGCACCGCGCTGCATCTCGCGCTCGCCGCCTGCGCCGCCACTCGCGCCTTCGCTTCCTGCATTTTCCCAAGTCTTTTATATTTCCTCATTTCTCTTACCTACGTTAACGAGATGATATTTTATGCTTAGATTATTTCTATAAATTATCAGCCAATATTTCGGAATTAATCTTATAAAACATTTTTTGATAACGAAATAAATGTTGTGTAGATGATAGATTACTTTTCCAAGTGTTCGGGGCCGTGGCGGCGCTGGCATCGTGACGCAACCCGCTAATCTAGCCGGCGACGGCGGGAAGTGCAGTGTCGCGTCCCCGCGCCGCCCGCGCGCCCGTTGCGATCGCGCTGCGCGGTCGTTGACATTTCACCTAGTTTCTATTTGTCGCTTCTTAATAAAGTCCTCGGTGCTCTTTTTCTCGTACGAGTGGAGGAAAGGTCGTTTGTGGCCTACGTTGATCGCAATCCGTTTGCCCGCAGGCGAGTCGGCGGCCGACACCAGCACGTCCTCCCCGGACCCGGGCCCGCCGTCGCCGCGTATGGCCGAGGCGGGCTGTAGCACGCCGCCGCACCCGCCGCCCGTGTTCGACGGCGGGGGCTCACCGTCGCCTTCTCCTGCATGCCATCCGACTGTCATCCGCTCCGCGCCGCCTTACTCTGTCATCAAGTTCGAGGGGCCCTCTGCCGCCGTCAAGGTAGAGAGCTCCGCGGCTAGCAGCAAGCCAGACACTCCTTCGCCTTCTCAAGTCTCATCCGTGAAGCTAGAGAGTACCTCCCAGGAGCACTCTCCACCGTGCAGGCCCAGACCGTTGGCTCCTCCGCCGACGAGCACGCACGCGTCCCTTTCACCCGGCCACTGGCCGCCCTCCGCATGCATCAACGGTGTTAAACCGGAGCTCATCGGGGGCCATTTCCCACCGCAACCTCTGGAGCCGAAGGCCGGAGTCAGAGGACCCGCCCAATGGCGAGGTTCGCCAGCTGTTATCATGGGAGAATCCGGTGGTGTCCGGACAATGTTCTGGACTTTACCGGCACCGACGTCAACTAACGAGCCGGCTGCGAGTGCGTCGCATACGCCGACGCCGCCCACGCCGGACCCGGCCACCTGTACTGAAGAATCAGCTGCCCGGCTACTACTTAATCTTGGAGGAGATTTGAGAAGGCCTCGGGGACCACCATTAAATATGGAACTACTGTGGGCCGGAGACGTATCGCAACTACCAGCCAACCAGCAGATACATGCACTAAATCTTAGTCCGTCAGCAGGCAGCATGTCAGGAACGTCAGCGATCGCGAGCGCTAGCGCCAGCTCTCTTACAATTCCACGGCCCGAGCTGCGTGCATATGCTCCTGAAACCGAGCGTGACGAGGACGAACAACCTATGATTTGTATGATATGTGAAGACAAAGCGACTGGACTCCACTACGGCATTATCACGTGCGAAGGCTGTAAGGGCTTCTTCAAAAGGACTGTTCAGAATCGACGTGTGTATACATGCGTTGCTGACGGAGGCTGTGAAATAACAAAGGCGCAAAGAAATAGATGCCAATATTGTCGATTTAAGAAGTGTATTGAACAGGGAATGGTATTACAAGGTTGGTACCTATTTTTTCATATATAAAATATCTACATGCGTACTTAAATAATGCATTTATCTAACAACTTTTTTTCTGTATACCAGCCGTACGAGAAGACCGTATGCCGGGTGGCCGCAACAGCGGTGCAGTGTACAATATGTATAAGTATAAATATAAGAAGCATAAAAAAACTAACGCAAAAGCGGCAACGACCACGAGTAGAGCGTCACCGCCGGAGAAACCTAAGGACCCACTACCACCAATCCCACCGCACCTTGTAAACGGGACCATACTTAAGACTGCATTAACCAACCCTAGCGAGGTAAGTCGCTCCAAAAGGATGAAAATTATTTCTTAGTTTAAGAATACGTTAAGTGTTTCATCGGCAACTTATCTTCCGTAGGTGGTACACTTGAGAGCGAGACTGGAGAGCGCCGTGTCGTCGTCACGAGACCGAGCGGTGCCTTTAGAGAGGGCGCTACACATGATCAGGGCGCTGATCGACTGCGACGCGATGGAGGACATCGCCACCGTACGCCATCTACCGGACCTCCTGCACGATACGTCCGAGATCGGCGATAAGTTGTGCAGGATCGGTGATTCGATCGTTCACAAAATGGTCGCCTGGACGAAGAAATTGCCTTTCATCATGGAAATTCCAATGGAGATCCATTCGAAGCTACTAATGGAGAAATGGCACGAGATATCAGTGTTAACGACCGCGGCGTATCAAGCGATGCACGGCAAACTTGCTCATGCGCCACCTTCATCGGACCACGAACATGATTTTATGCAAGAGGTGAGAACATATTTATTACCTATTTAAGGTTTAACTTACTTTCCTTTATACTTATATTAAAAAAATAAAGTAGAATATAGTTGAACCCTACAGCAATACGACATTTCATTCATATACACTCCAAGTATTTACACAAATAGTTGAATTAGATAACAAGATATCTTATTTCTCGGTAGATTGTATTACAAAATATCGGAGTGTTAGGACATTAGCGTAGGTACTAGACGTAGATAGTTAACCCTAGATGGCAGTACCAGTGGTTCACACTCGCGAAGACTTCCGCCACATGCGCCGGAGTGCAGTTACGTGATCTGCATCAGCCTTGCGTAATCCAGATAGAAAGTCGCCGGCGACTGCACTCGGACGCTCGCATATAGAACTCGTTTCTAACAGAAATCGAGATTTATCGCAATACATTCGCTCTTCAGAAATTAGAACTAATTTTAAACATGACTTTACTTTTTCATCTTCCATAACTGAAGTTTTTTAAATTAATCTGATTTTACAAATTTCATCATTCTCCATGACTCAAATACTTATTTCTCTTATGGTATCGATGGAAACCTGTGCCATAAGCTTTTTATTGCATTTATGATTCTATGTAGTAGTCACTAGTCTTGTTTATTTTTTATTTTTTCATAACTGACGGTACTTCAAATTTTATAAGAATCGATCGTCGTAACATTTCACGTGGTTAACTTTTTGTGTTATATTTAGCAGCAATGTTCAAAACAACAGACAATCAAAAAAACGTAAACTCGCAAGCAGTGAGCATTGCATGCACATGCATTACGTAAAGTTAACCGTAACCGCGGTAGTTACACAAAGATTATTTTCATTGTCTAGTGCATTTCCTTCTAGCTTACATATGCACCGTTACATAAAGAAATATATTTGCATGAAACAAATGAATAGAACTTATGTATATGTACATCAGAACAGCAGCAATAAAAAAATATTAATTCGATGTTCTTTTAATATATAACACAAATAACACCAGCTGGGTTACACAATGTCGCTTACGCCGAGTAACAAATTCACATACACAAAATTTATTTTGATGATTACTTGCTAAATTTACAAAGGAAGAAATATGTTTAAAACCAGAGATACAAATTTTTGCCTTGCCTGTCTCATTGTAAGTTCCTTAACTAACCTTTGTGTTATAGGTGAACGCCAACTTACGGACACTACAGAACTGCCTGACATCACTAATGGGGCGGCCGATCACGCTGGAGCAACTGCGGCTCGACGTCGGTCTCGTCGTTGAGAAGATGACGCAGATCACCTGCGTCTTCCGCCGCATACAACTCCGTATGGAGGAGTACGTCTGCCTCAAAGTCTACATTCTCTTGAATCAAGGTGCGTTTAGCGATAAGTAAAGCATTTGGTTTTGAAAGACTGTTTTAGTTTTTAAAAGATTTGAAACCAATTAATCAGAAAGAAAAGAATACGATGTCAGAAGGATAATTGCAATAGAAAGACCATAAAATTGGCTAAAAGCACATTTATTGCAGATAACTTGAAATAATATTTTTTAAATACTGCCTTCTTTTTTTTCGTTTCCAACAGAACAGCATTAACCCAAATATCTCATTAAATGATGAATGAGTTTTTATATAAACAAATTTGAATGTTGATTGACGTCAATTTTATCCTATTTAGCCAAATACGATTCAAAACACAGTGGTAATCGATAAAGCGTAACCTTTCACCGCTTCAACAATAATTAAGGACGTCGCTATTAAGGTTATGTAAATAAAGTGCGCAAAATAATTTCCTAATTACAACATTCCAAGATGTTTATTATAAATGAAAACAATTCAAATAAAAAGTGGTCGGAATACGTTTATTTTATAAATAATATAATGCTAATTACTTTTAAATTTACTTTGTGGCTTTAGTTATTTAAAAGAAGTTATCATTTCTAAATTGTTTAGTTTATGAATTAATTTAAAGTTCAGGCGACAAAGGCATGTTCATTATTAATATTACAAGTGACTCGGACACATGTCGTTTTTCCCTAGACACTGCGCAAAGTCCGCAAAGTACCGATCGCGAAACTGCACTTTATTTCATTTAGGGTTGTCACTTTGTGGTACCTTGTAATACTACATTCTAGACTCGTAATTCCTTATATGATAAAGCTGTGATATTTTTTGTGCTGGCCAATATTATGGCAAAGAGGTGGATCAAAGATCCAATATTGCGGTATCGGGACCATACCATTCACAATTTAGCAGCCTGACTTACATTTTGACTTTAAAAAATATCGTAAAATAAACCTTAAAATCAGAAATTTCTTAGAAGACGCTCACTTTTAACACATTGTAACTCATACTTAATAGACCAAGTATATTTAATTTTTTTAGTATGACCTATGATGTAGACCGTTACAACCGCTATAGCAGTGATAGGCTAGGAAGTAGGCGGCCATATTTAACGTTTAGAGTAATTACTCTTTATTATTTCTTTTGGATAAAAAAGTTAGCAGCCCTAGAAGTAATCCAGTTATAGAGTAGTCGGGCGGGGGTGCATCGGCCGCGCGTCATGTAGGTCAGTTACAGCTAGTCCTGCGCCGTGACGTCGCCTGACTCATGCTCGGCTTACACGCACGTTTTCCGTTCACATTGTAAACTGATCGTACCGTAAACAAATCAATTTACAGCTAAATTGACAATAATTTTAACATAATATTACTTCTGTATGTAGATACTTGTGCGACTTAAAATTTAATTAAATATTCTTAGTTAGCTATTTCAGTATAATGTCTACCTTCTGGGAATTTTAACGGTAATACATTTTCTATGTAAGCTAATGAAACTTACTTTCGAAAGAAGCAAGGCAATCAAGTCTATATTAGTAAGCCCTTCTATACAGGGTGTTAGTTTCTGTATCTTTTAAGTTTTTTTTTTAATAAGTTTGTTTTATATGTTTACAATTAAACTTATAAATTCCTAAATATGTGAAATATCAAAATACAAATATTATATATTATAAATATTTTTCATAACCAAAAGATAACTTCTCCGATAAAACATACTCAGACATAGACGTTATAAAGGTTGTAGATAAAGACAGTAGATAGTTCGAGAAAGTAGTACCTCTTCTATAGATTTGACTTTGATAAATAGCCAAGTCTATAAACAGTATTGTTGCAAAGATCAGTATAGAAAGGTATCGCTTCAATAAGTTGATGCGAAGAGACAGCACACGACGACGAAGCGACGCGACAGTGCAAAGTGTACTCGTTAATATTATTATGATTTATGGTACATGTAACCCAGTTACGAGAAGCGAGTCTCGACTCGCTTGCGAAATCGATTAGGTACATCGAGACATTTCTGTCAAATTTCAATTACAAAATTTTCAGTCAACTCTGCTTTGTAGTCAAGATCTGCTTTGAAGAAAACTCTACACAAAACGCATCACCATAGATTACATGTTGTCACAGTAATATTTTTAACAACATTATTTTATTATGCATGTTACAAAAATTTGTTATTTTCCCGTTATTCAAGTATATCGTATCTGTAGATATTAAATAAGCGTAGCGTAATTAAAGCTAGAGTCGACGTGCGCAGGCGCAGTACCATTGGGTAGGAAAACTGTGACATCCTGCGTTATCGCTCGTCGTATGTAGGTCGCACTTGCGCCGTTTGAAAATAATTTTCACCGCGCGCTCGGTACATTATTGCGCCGTTTATGAAATAGCACCGTTGCATACGTTTAGAACGCGTTCGAAAACTTAACACAATAACATAGTGCTACAAATAAACTGCGCACAATGTAAACGAATAAGATTTGTTCTGAACAAGGTAATCTGAGTTGTGTTCGTTTCTAGAAGAATCTCGAATACATGCATGCATTAACGATACATGTACGAGTAAATGGAAAATAACAGATTAGTTAATTTCAATTAAATTTTTAATACAATAAAGTCGAATAAAATGAAAAAAATCGAAGTATTATTATACTAATGTAGTCACGAAATTAATAATTGACTTCTTAGAAATTATTTTAGTTCAACATGTGTGTTCTTGAAAACGAATTCATTTCAAATACTTCTCTAGTTAACCTACATACGAATAGATTGACAGATCTCCCAGTAGACAAGATGAGAATGACCGTTATGGTCATGAAGATTCACATCTTAATAGTGCTCATAGAAATAATTTACGATAGTCAATGTTATTTAAATTAATTACAGCACAACATTTTTACATTTAATATTTTAATAAAAAAAACTACCATAAAGGCTCCTAAAGTTATGTTTCTAATGTCCACTCTGAAACTGGTGATTTCAATCTCTTTGTCTACAATCGAAAAATTTTAGATATATCCGTCGTCTCTCAGTATACCCTTTGATTGTAGTTACAAGAACTCTCATTTTGATAAAAACGATACCAACAAACTCAAATCTGGAAAGAGCAAGTAGTAGACACTCGGCACCGGCACGGTGAAATGGAAAGCGCTTGCGCAACCGCCGCCGCTGTGCAAGCAGTCTCTATATTTTATAAAATTGTTATGTAGTTTTGTCTTTTTTTTAATCTGGAAACATTTGTTTTAGCATGTAATGAAATTGGTGTTAAGAAAACAGATGTCACTTTTTTAGAGTAATACCCAATTCTAAAATATGGTATATTATAAATTTCTATGTTATTAAATAAATATATTAATGCACTGCGGTGGCATTAACAAATGGGATATTACGTAAGTACTATGTCCTTTAGGACATTCACACATATGTAGGTACGTATGTAACTTGGGTAACAAGAATCGCCGGTTTTATCACCGTAACGAAACAAAAGTGTCGCGCGACGGCCGAAGCGAGGCGACGCGCAGCGCCACAATGCGTATAATAGACGCGTTACGTCACTCGTTACGGGACAGCATTTCACTCTCGCAGCGAAAAGCGCGATGCGGAAGCGAACTTTCTCTTTTGCGCCGCGCCGAGCGCTGCAGCGCAGGCGAAAAAACATCCATTAGCCGTTCGAGAACTGAACGCTTACATAATAAACCCCCTGCCCGCACTACATGTGCATTTCGTATATTTTTCCACGGTCTATCGTTTTATGTAATCCGTGTTCATATGAGAAATAATTAAATTAACATTCACAATAATTTTATTTGATTGCAATGGTATACCTATATTGATTCATTTTGGCTAAAACATTCAACATGCAAAAGTAAATATGTTTGCAACTTATGCAGCATTCGCTAGGTAAAAAAAACTGTTAGCGAATGTGTTATAAAACATGCTTAGATAGCAAAGTATGTGCTTAGTAAATTATAAATAAACATTATAATCACGAACTAATATTGACTAACGCTTAATAATATCAATAAGTAAAAGTGCACTTATCTATTTTATATTAAACATTTTTATTACACCAATATCACTGTACAAGTATCGTGAACAGAACGATCAATTAAATATAGCTGCATACAACGCGTAAAACATTCGCGCGTACAATACGTTGGAAAAGCGTGCGAGAGCGAGACGAGTGAGGACGCGAGCGAGCTCGAGCGGAGGTCAACGGCTAGCCGCGGTCGTTGCCCCGCTATCGGAGTGACCTACTGAGCGCGTGACGTCACCGCCGCACCGCGCGCCCCGTGGCATTGGTGTCGAGCCGACATCGACATACAACGCCATCTAGAGTCGAGTAGGCCGACAACAGCGTTATTACAAATCATGAAACATTATTATTCTGTGCACTGTTTGAGACACAGTGATTCGACAAACATCGTCGTCACAACGGACTGGAATTACGTTTTAACTTCTGGACATTTTTCCTTGAACATTTATAGCGCTCCGGTACCGTGATGCTGCACATACTAATTTATTTAAATTAGAATTATTTTATATACTTCATTTAAATTTACTTGTATATTTTAAGCACAACACCAACACTGAACAAATAACGAAGTCTAGCATTTTTAGTTTTATAAATATATGTACTTATTAAAAATACCTACATATTTTCAAAATATTTCTTTCTTTAATATAATACTTAATAATAATTTTATTTGCAGAAGTAGAACTGGAGGGCATTCAAGACCGTTACGTTCAAGTACTTCGCAGTTACTTGGAGCACGCGGCGCCTCATCATCCAGGGCGGCTACAGGAATTATTCGCGAGGATACCAGAGGTAATTTATATTACAAAGTTGTACTATAACGGAGACATAGAAGCCCAGGCTGCGTCTAGATAGTAGTAGAAACCCTTGAGTTAGGTTACAAAAGCGCACTCGAAGATCGGCCGCGTCAAGGCTTTCTTGCCTCTTCAAAGCAAAAAAGGAACCGTGCGCAAAAAATTACACACTCAAATCCCAACTACATTGAGGCCTATTTTGAGTGGTGGTCAAATTTAGTAAATTGTAATAATCTGATATTTTACGCTGTTTATTATATACTTATATACTATACTACTTTCTAATGAATGAAACCCGTAAAACAAATAATGTGCATCATTTATAAGCAACGCAATCCGTTCTGATATAACGCAGGCCGCCGACCGACGCAGTAGAAAGTACCGGAGCGATCGCAATTGAAATGGAAAGCTAAAGTACCACAATGCTGATTCGTCCTTTCTCCTCCGCTTTCAGATCCAAGCAGCGGCGAACCTGTTGCTGGAGAGCAAAATGTTCTACGTGCCGTTCGTGCTCAACTCCGCAGAGATCAGATAGTACATGGCCCAGCAGGGCGTATAGTTCTCGATGTACGAGACCAGCGCCCCGCGACCGCGCCGCGCCGCCGTCTTATGATTGCCCGAGACCGGAGACCGCGGTCTCGGCCCAACCCGCCTCCGGGGACCGGGCGCGCCGCGGACAGAGACTACGTCTGATCTCGAGACCCTAAATAAATAAATCTGCGGACGCACAGGTGACGCAGTGACTAAAATTCAAAGACAGTGTTTATCACGAGTGAGACAGTGCGTTATACCTTTGTTGAGTCGATGTGTGTATTGGTTTATTGTTTATTAGAGGAATTAAAACGTCCCAATCGACAGACTGATTTATGATTAAACTAGCTATTATTTTATAGATAACGAGGGACTTGAATGCGTGTTTTATACGTGGTAGTGTATACTACTTAGTGTTAAATAGATTAAATATATAATTATGTTACTATATAAATTTTTTCGTCAATCGGAGAATCGCATAATATATTATTTCTGTAAATATAGCGATAATATATCTTAACGATATAGCGTTTAAGGAGTTGTTTTTTTTTTAAACAGAATTGTTTCTTGTAAATGAAATATTACTGTTTTAGTTTGCATTTTATATTGTCTAGTATAAGAGCCGTAGGGTAATTGCTGGGTGTGTAATATTGATTCTTTTATTTCTTATTTAATTTTATAATGATTTTGTTCTTAATGTAAGTAGCACTAAGTACCTACTCTCAGTGTTTACCAAGACTGCTTGTATACAACTATACTGTTTATACACTAACATATGTTTGTCGCGGGTTGTCCGCGTTCTCTTTATAGTCACAACTTTTGCATTTTTATTGCCAATATTTCTTGTAACACATGCGCAAGTTCTGTGCTCTGAGCGATACACTTCTCTTTGTTCTGGTCTAAATAGATACGTAATGGGCTATAGAGGATGTCTTATGGATGCAAGTCGAACGCCGCGGATTGCGAACGTTGGAGTACCGCGGTGATTTCCATGCTGACACATTCTCATGCTTTGTACATTCACTAATTATATTGTCGCTTCCATTGATGTGTTCAAGTTACAAATATGCTCAAATCCCTAGAACTATAAATTCAGATTCATTTTTCATTTCATAACTACATACTGTATGTTTGTTTATACCTTCTCCATAACATTAATATATCACAAAGACTAACGCATCATTTAAATAACACAAGAAATGTTTACAAGCAGACCTTATTTCTACCCACCGGAAAATTGTTTCATATTAATTGGTCAGTTGTCAATTAAATCACCGTCGTTTGTTAAATTGTTTTACCGCAAAGGAAAGATGGGATTCGAAGACCGTTATTATAAAGATTTTGTCAATTTTTTATCTGTATAACTTGCGTAATGAAGTCTGGAGCTGAAATGAATTTCTACAAGAGAATACAGTCGCTAAATTTATGTAAAAACTAAATCAAATGCATACTTTATATTTGGCTAGATTGTATTAACGCGAAGGTCAAAGAAACTTTACTTCAGTCAACTAAGATTGCAACAACTATAAATATTGTAATACGGAAATTTTGCAACGTGTCATTTTTAAAATAAAAAAATTAAAACCTTTAAATATACGAAAGTTTTTCAAAACCCCTTTGTGGATAAAATGTAAATTTTACAGACAATAAATAATAAGTAAAATGTAATTGTAATTTTACACTTTTTTTACAATGTTAAATCAACGTTTTAATAAACGGTCACCATCTTTAATGTATGAAGTCATTATAATATCGATGGATATCAGTGTCTGACTTTGTTCAAGCCAGAAGCATTGTAAAACGACCTATATTGTGCTCCGATCCATTGTTATAACATCGATAAGTGTATGTCACCATTCATTGACTAGTTTCTCATTCATTGTTCATTTGTATACGAATTACTGTTGCATTCCCTTAGTTTCCATTTCAAAAAAAATCTTAACTAATCTTTCAAACATCAAAAGGGTCATAGAAATAACAGATAAAGTAGATAATAATAAAATAATAATTTTTATAAGTATTTTAATAATTGACTAAATGTTTGCTTATTATTCTAACCTAAAATTTTGTACTCTTTTGTAAATGTCATTTACATATATCAAATCAAAAACCCAGTTAATTAAGTTGTATTTCTGTGACCCGAAATAATCATTAACTTAATTCATGTTTCATCGACATGTAACAACATCGTTAAGACACATTATTCATAAAGATTTACTAACATTTAGTCGTAATTTTAAACAGATAAATAAAATAAGGAGCTCTTTTGACTAATTGTTCTTAAAAAATAGTGTTAATTTTCCGCAACACTGTCAGACATCACTGCCTGTATTTTTAAAGTTATTGCCGTTAAAAAAAATTGTATTAATAATTAATATTATGAAATTGTAATAAACGTTCCAGCAACGGTGAACAGTTACCATTAGATATAGGTCGGCAGAAATAAGCCGCGTTTAAATTAAGTAAAAAAACCAAAAAGTTCGTTCTAGGGACTTAGGTTCTAGGTAAATTCTTTTCGCGTTTTTTTCCCCATAGTACTCTTCAAACTGGTTATTAGTTCAGAAAATTAATACGAAGTCCAAATTCTACATCTCGTATTCGATTATTAAAAATGACCAACTAAAAAAAATAATATTCGAGATGTAATCTTATTAACATATTTCATCAACAAATTGGAGTTGTCATTATTATTAAATTCTCTACTTCCGAATTATAATTCAAATTTCATCTTTTTTAGTAACAGATATTGTATAATTTAATTTAGTTATTAAAAAAAACTGGAAGCACATAAAAGAAAACATCTGTAAATGTTAGAAATAACGCTTCATTTCCTTAGTCGGGTAAACATCATAAGTTGCATAAACTAGGTGGTCAATTGATCTTACAAATATTATGTAATTTGAGAATCCTGTTACCTGAACGTACGAGAAGCGTCCGTTCCTCAACGTGTTACCATTAGTTAAGTCTTAGTGGATATGTGTTTTGTACATTGTTATTATTAGATTTCGAATACAACCAGTTACGATACTGCCATCAAATGCCTAAATAGTTTTTCGATTAATTTCGTTATATACTTTAATTACGTTTTTCTATTAAGTTAATGACATTCGCGAAATTATTAGTTAAATGTGATAATGGAACAGTGATAATATATTGGGAATAAATGCGCGAATCTTTTACAAGCCATACAAAAGCGAGCGTTTCTACAGCCGGGCCTACGTGTAGCCTACGCCGCGTAGCTAACGCCTACATACGCGCGAGCTTTTATTTAACAACAGGGCCCTCCCGTAAATTGGGTAACTACATATATTTATTTATTCAATAACTTAAATTATAATAAATTAGTTCTAAAATTAACGCCATCAGAACGACGGTGGTAAATCTAAAGTCTGAGGTAAAGATGCCTTCATAGATTTTTAAACATTGTAATGAGGGAAATCGTAAAAATAACTTTAGTCGCAAATCGTGCATCATTCTACTAAATATGTTAACGGTATATATAAGTAATATTGACACTTATTTTGTTAGTAACGTAGCTTAAAGTTAAGATGAAACTAACGGCAGTGTATCAAGGAGGACTTAGATATGTAAGGATGTTATTGGCGTTGTACAAAGGATAGTATTGTTAATAAATAAACGATGAAATTGGCGCATTACTGTCGAGTACCTAATTAGATTAGTACACGAGCCCCCGGAGGCTATACATTTTGTCAAATATAAATGTAAATACAAAATTATATTACGACGCATAAAATTGTCATTCACTTTTCATGTCTATTCCGAGTTGTTAGGAGCCATTACACCACTTGGACTAACAGCAATAAAAATTGTAACGAGCTTCTCACATACTTTTTATATTTATTGGCCAGATTATATAGTTTTCTTTTTCCGTAAAAATGTTTCAATTTATTTATCATCAACAGAAGTTGAGTCAATTGATGCGACAACTTTATCAATAGTGAAACTGAACGTAATTTCGAATTTATATTTATATAATTTAGTGTAAAAATAACAGTTATATGTATCATCGATTAGTAATGACACACAGCAAGCTTTGTATAAACCATACATTACTTATTACATTTCGGAACCTTTAATATTAAATGAATCACATAACTTGTTACGAAGTTGGCTAAGAGTTAAGATCTAAATAATATGGCGAAAATATTTTGACTGATATAAATAAATAGTAATGTAACATAACGATGTTAATATATTTATAAGAATGTAACAAAAAAAAACTTAATGCATTTCTCACTTTCTTTACAGTCCATAAGAGAATAAATTAATTACGTCTAAGGTATTGTGACGAAATATTTTCACATTCATAAGTAAGGTAAGGTTTGTTGTGTATAATAATATCGTTTCGTGTACTTTTGAGTAAAAGAAAGTTTGAAATTTGTGTACATTAGACAATGTAATTAGTTACAATTTAACGAGTGTAAATCTGTAAGAGAATATATATTTGGAAACGTTGAGTGTTTGTTGTATGTAACTCTACATGTCACAGAGGACTTTTTGAACCCTTAAGTATACATTATACCATAATATATTAATTATCTATTCTACGAGTTATACATCGTTTATTGATATAAAAATAATCGTGTTTTCTGTTATGGTTACAAAAACAAACACGTTTCGCTTTTTAATGATTTCATGTCTTCAAAGTCCGTTCTATTGTGTAGGCCTTTGTTAACTGTAATAAATATGTAACTTAAGTATGACACCCAGTTTTGTAACTCCACAATCTCACTGAAAGTACCACTGGGAAACGCACGTATGTCTATTAGCTACCATTATTTCAATAATCAGAGTTCGATGTGGTTGAGTGTGCTGTATCTCACATATTTATATAGTTGGGCTCGCTCAATATCAAGACTTATCGCTTTCAGACTTAGCTAGTACGTTTAAGTATTACGATACCTTAGGGTTGTATGTTTACGTGTAGCAAGTCACATTAGTTGCTGTTCGATGTACCTTTCTGGATGGTTAAAAGTCTATTGTTATAATTCGACCAAATTAAGAATCACATTGAGTGTATGAAGTGTTTCGGGAAGTTGTGACTCGTCTCGTTCGAGTGGTGCGCCGGCTGTTAGTCAAGCGATCGTGTTCTGGTTTGCCAAGAGGAGTTACCTACAGTTGTGTTTAGTTAGCGATGCATAACGTGTTTGTACTTTAATTTGTTTTTTAGTTGTACTCTTGGAAATCAATGGTTAATAACTTAAGAAAATAAAATGTATGTGAAATATTTTCTTTGTTTTAATTTCTTAACCTTTAATTACTCTAACGCGAACTACGTTAACATAGTTGTAATTATATATGTTGAATCTTACAAATATAAATGCAAAAGTTTATATGTGTGGATATTTCTCGTATATCTCCATAACAGCTAAACAAACTTCGCTGAAATTTGACAGAGATATGTGAAAGAACTCATTTGCTACCTATGATCCATAAAATGTGTACCGATGTCCTGACATAGGGTTGATTTACATTTTTACTCGACAACTCCGCAGATAACACCGCGGTAAAGATATAGGACAGACTTGAGTAACACATAAGATACTTTTCATCTTTTTTTTAAATTTCAACATGATTGGATTCCCTTTTGGCTTAGAATTCAGCTACCACAGCATAGGGCAGGACGTGCGAGTAGCAAAATTCGGTTTTATGATTGTTTTAACTTCTTCACAATTTAATTTTTAATCTAAAGGATAAACCTTTTTAACCTACCACAGGTAAAAATTGTACTCTGTGGTGGACTTTCTTTATTATCTGTAAATATTAATACTCTACTCTTCGATGAACTCCTTTCTGTCAAATAACCGCAACCGCCACATGTCACAATTTAGTTTTTCTTGATTTTTCTGTAATTATACATTTTAATATTTGTAAAAATGGTAAGGTTCCACGGTTTTATAGCTTAGCAATGTTAATTTTTTATTTTTAAATACATGCACCTTTATAATCATACTAAATACGCGATGACATTAAACAGTACGAGTGATTTCGTCCTCTGTATTTTTTCAGAAACCTCTTATGCTACAAGGGCACGAGCGTGCCATTACGCAGATCAAGTATAACCGAGAAGGTGACTTGCTATTTTCTGCTGCAAAAGATGCAAAGCCCAACGTTTGGTGGTCTTTAAACGGTGAACGTCTAGGCACTTTCAATGGCCATGGTGGTGTCGTTTGGTGTCTTGATGTTGACTGGCAGACGATTAACCTTATTACCGGTGGCGGAGACAGCTCTTGCAGGTTAATTTATATTTTCTATCATATTTTTATTGCAACCTCTAGTGTATTACACAGTCCACTTTAGTTTCTGTTAGCTTTACTATAAGTTTTTTGCTGTAGATGTTAAAGCTAGATTATTTATATCAACCATTTGATTTACAAAAACAGCTTCTTGAACATCAAATCATCGTTCAGTTATCTGATCATCACATTATGATCATTGCATCATTGTCTTATATCATGTTACATTATGCATTAACTTTTAATGTTGCTTTCAGATTATGGGATTTAGAAACTGGTAAAAACATAGCAACCATTAAAACAAATTCATCAGTGAGAACATGTAACTTCAGCTATAGTGCATACCAGGCCGCCTACACCACTGACAAAGCAATGGGTCATCCTTGTGAGGTATATATATTATAAATAACGCTGTTAATCTCATCGTGCAATCAAAATACTGTTATATTTTCATATTAAGATGCGATTAAATAGTTTTAATATAAACCATATTATCAATGGTAATCGGCCAACATATGTTGTTTAAATTTGTTCTTCTAACTAGGAACTTTTTGTGATGATACTCCTGTTTCCCAAATGCTTTACTACAGTACCACTTTGATTCAGGATTATTGGCCTGGTACTATTATAATAAGATGACACATATACTGTAACTTTTATTTTTACATAATTTAATGAAAACTTGCACTATGAGTTGTGGACTAATGTCATTTTGGTCATAGATTCATTGGGATAGAATTCATATGAACTTTTTTGCAGGTTTTTATAATTGACACTAGAACTGTTGATGACTCTATCTCCAGCCAGTCCCCAATCTTGAAGTGGGAAATTACAGACTCAAAAGTTACATCAATGGTATGGGGAACTTTAGACGAGACTATTATTACTGGTCATGAGGCAGGTGATCTGATCCAATGGGACCTTAGGGTATGTATTAAAAATACAGTTGAAGTAATTTAAAAAAAATATAGTTGCTCGTCCTATTTTTCGAGTATGGTAGTGATAGCTAGTAATACATTTTGGCTTGTTAAAATGCGATCCACAATAACTGTCGATAAAAGTAGATACTTGCTTGAAGCTTATCTGAATATATTTATGTTTACAGACAGGTAAAAAAGTTCATTCAATCAAGGAGCACAACCATCAAATCAATGACATGCAGCTTTCACGTGACGGGACTATGTTTATCACAGCCTCTAAAGATCAGACAGCGAAACTATTTGACACCAGCTCACTGGAACTTCTCAAAGAATATAAAACTGAGCGTCCAGTTAATTCTGCTGCATTGAGCCCAATTCTCGACCATGTAGTGCTTGGCGGTGGTCAAGATGCTATGGAAGTAACAACAACTTCAACTAGACAGGGCAAATTTGACGCTCGTTTCTTCCATTTAGTATTTGAAGAGGAATTTGGACGTGTGAAAGGTCATTTCGGTCCCATCAACAGTTTGGCATTCCACCCTGATGGGAAAAGTTACGCGTCAGGCGGTGAAGACGGTTACGTACGCGTACAGAGCTTCGATCAATCTTACTTTGATTATACATTCGATTACAACAGAGATTAACATAGAACTAGAATATGTTGTATTTTGTATTGTCATAAAATTTGTTTAAACCATGGATAATTTTTATTTTGCGCCCTTTCTTATTTCATAAATTCGAAACACATTCACAATTTACAAATAAATTACATGCTTTAGACATAGACTTTATTTCATTTAAATAAAATCCCTAAACTCTGTATCAAACTTATCATTCTTTTCACCTTTAAATCTTAGAAGAAAAATATTTTGTCACTTCATACTTTTTTGTATGGGTAAAAATAAAACTTCATTTAAATATCCAACAATGTTTTGTACAAAATAATCTAAACAATAGTATGGATTGCGCTTAATATATATGTTTAATCTTATACATAAGTTACAAAAAGTATGGTGTTGTATTCTGTAGAGGCACTTCTCTTTCACTGTCTGGCACTGCATGGAATATTTTAGCATTTCTATCATTTACACTTAGAAACTCCATTATAGAGGCGACGTTGCCACAGCGGTAGCAATAATTTGGTGCAGACCAAATTGTAACCAGTCTTTTGTCAAACATATATTTATAACCTGGAAAATAAAAGTACATTTAAATATAATTTTAAAATAAGTAATTAAACCCTAGCTTTTGCCCGCAACTTAGTCCATTTGTTTTTGGGTTTATTTGTTATATACTAAAATACGAATGTTTCCTCGAAATTTTATTACTACTAGCTATCGCCCGCCACTCCATCCGTGCGGAATAAAAAAATACGTAATAAGTAGCCTAGGTGTTCTTCCAGACTGTTCTACATCTGTGCCTAATTTCATCACTTTCTGTTCAGCCATTCTAGAGATACCTTCAAACAAACATCCATCCATCTATACATTTGCATTTATAATATTGGTAAGAAGTAAGATAGATAATGCTGCTTTGGACAAAGATCGAAAGGCCAAAGCAGCATATCTCGGGACCCCGACTGGACGCCGACCCATTGGTCGGCCCAGGTACCGCTGGCGAGACGACGTAGAGATGGATCTGCGGGAGCTACAATCAATGGACTGGCAGGAGAAGGCGCACGACAGGCGACTTTGGCGATCTCATGTGTTGGAGGCCAAGACCCATCTTGGGTCAATGCGCCAGCAGAGTAAGTAAGATAGATAGTAAACAAACCTTCATTAACAAGTTGGTGTGCTCTGCATATTAAATTCAAATTATTGTAGTTCATAAAGAGTTCTGTTACATTACTTCCAAACAACCAGCCTGCCCCTCTTGGACTCAATGACCTGTAATTAATAAATTCATACAATAAAATTATATCTGTACATAATTCTTCATAGACAGTTAACTATAGATACTTACCACATTTCAATATCGGCAGGATCTGACCAGAGCAAATCACAAAATGCTCCTTTATGAGGTATCTGCTGATTTCTATCTATGCATCGGATTTGATCTAACATTGATATCTCAGGGGACAAACCACCATGGACACACAATACTGTCTCATCTATTAGCTGAAAAAACATAAAAAAATGTAGTATGAGTAACTGAATTATAACTTAATACATATTGAGTACCTATGAGACAAGATATGAATGTAGAAACCTCACAAAAGACTTTCTGGTCACTACTCAAAGCTAAAGGTGTGAGTGCAGATTTATTTTATTAATATAATAATACTTACGGCAGCTACTGTAAGAAGATCAAATACTCTGCAGCAGTCTTTCCAAGCATTTGCATTACCATACTTATTTAGACACTCATCATAGAAACCATAAACTTTTGTTATTTGACAGGTTTCATGGTTACCTCTAAGTAGAATTATCCTATGGAATAAAAAAATAAGTATAATTTTTCCATAGAAATTGTATTTTGTGCTTGGATTCCTCTCAAGTATGCAACTTGGGTGAATATTTTTTTATCACAAACACCAAGACACATCTCACTTTATAATTAATTATTGTTTTGGATTAATTATTCATGATTATGATAACATATTTATTATTATCCTGAGAACTGTAAACATATTTTAATTTTACAAAGATAAGAATTGATAACATTATTGTAATAAAATTGAAAATGGAATCAACTTAAATAGCATGTTGCATATTTTATAAAATACATTAGTACAAAGAATCAAAAGGTAAATATTACATATAAAACTTTCAAACCAATACCTGTCCGGATATCTTGCTTTTAATGCCATTAGCAATGTTAATGTCTCCAAACTGTAATAGCCACGGTCTACATAATCTCCCATAAAAATATATTTAGTCTGAGGTACTTGACCTCCTATATGAAATAATTCTTCTAAGTCATAAAACTGGAACAAATTAAATATGGATTCAAAAATCTAGCAGTCACACATAGACATCTAAGAGAAAAGTTTGGCTAAAACCTTTAAAAAGAATGCCTATAAGATTGTTGTTCAATGTAATAAATAAATCATATAAACAGATTTTTCAGGTGTATTACCTGACCATGAATATCTCCACAAACAGTGACGGGCGTCTGCACCGGTTGGACATTCGGTTCTTCAAATAACAAATCGCACACAATATTGCACAATTCTCGCAAATCATCTTCAGGAAGATATTTACACTTTTTTGCTATTTCTATCCACTTGTCTACGTCGCTCATTTTCTAATTTATTTGTTAAAATATAAATTCACTAAAACTAAAGTTGCAACAACTTCGTGACAACCTGCTGACAGATGACAATGTGACAGTTACAAACAGATTATAAGTTTGCTGGTGTGGCGGGTTAGTCCATCCATCCTCCTTGTAATATAACCCATAACCCCTAGGAATAATTGAAGTGCAAGTATTCTCCCATTGAAAATTCTTTGTTGTTTTATACAATATTAACTCCCTGTGCACAATTGTAAAATACTGTATTTAAGTTAGTCATTAAAAAAATAATAGCGCTTTTCTACCTAATACGATTACAACAATTTGGCATTATACAGATGTTTCATTTTACAAAGGGGTAATACATGAACATTTATTACTCCTAGGGTTAATCCTTTCGGGAGGAATACATAAACCAACTCGGTGTGAGGTCATTGAAACTATGTAACTATATGTTTTGTTCATGGCTGTAACGGTTATTATTTACTCTCAAATCTTTGATATTTAGTAGAACTAGCATTATTCAAAATCAAATAGCTCCATTTTTCATGGACCTTAGTGGGCATGTTGAGTCCTCCAAGACCTCCGTGCTCCCTCTTTCGGGTATTGGGCCACACTTACCTTACCTTCCTTAAACTGGTACGATGCTCTTATTGGGAATGTACTAAATATTTAATACCAGCATTGTTAATATCAATGGCCGCGAATAACATCATTTTATAATTAAAATAGAAAAACTATACCGCAACTCAGAGGAATAATAACGAGAATAAGAGGCAAAAGTTGTAATTTTATTTAATATGTAAACAAACATGCAAATACATTTTAAAATGTTATTACATTTTGTAGTGTGGTGCCGTTGACATGCTGCGGTGAATGGGTTAAATAAAATGTAAGCTACAGCTAAAAATTATCGAAAATTGGAGAAATAACATATATCTTCATACAGGACGGATCAAATGCTTTTTGTCAGAACCTACATAAAAAACATAACATATTACATTTCAGAACAACTTACAAGCTAATGTTATTGTGATTGTAACAACACTCTTCGACTGTAATTATAATGCAGCGTTTATTAATAAAAACATTTTGCTACCCTTACATACTAGCCATTTTCTTTTTAATTATTTAAAAGATATATTTTTCTTGAGTGTAAAAGAAAAATCGGCTCATTTATAGCAATTTTATCACTAATTATGAAGTCGCCAAGGCATCATTTAATCACAGAATGCTATTTTAGAGATATAAGCGTTGTTTAATATAGTAATACACGTTACACTGATTTCGTTATCACAAAAAAATCAAACTGCAAAAAAAGAAACAAAAATAATATAGAAATATTTAAAACACAAATTTTATATCCAATTTTATAATAAAAATAATTATCAGTGCCCACCAATAGAATCTTAAAGCTACAATAGCTCTTGCCATTTAAAAAAAGTATAATACTAGGAAATATAACTAACAATTTGGAATCACAACTAACTTTTGATGATTTCAACATTATGAGATACAAAAAAAAATTCTTATATCTGAGAGAGTACCAAGTGATCACAGATTCTGAAAGTCCGTTCATATATCAGTACAAAAGTAGCTAACACGTCGAAACGGATTTACTTACACTATTCCATGAAAGCTGATACTTGCCCATCACCACGCAATAAATATATTACATAGAGTTGTTACAACTACAAAAATATTACTGCATAAACAAAACGACATAAGAATCTTATGACAAAACAAGGCAAATGTAATTAACAACTATGAGCATGTATCAGTTTCCAATTTATCTATGATACGAAAAGATATGCTATAATAATTGCTAATGAACATTTATTTCGTGGCCAGTACTTTAGGAATTAAATTACAAATGCATTATTAAACTTTGGCAAATAGGAAAGATCACAAATTTGAAACTCAATAACTATTAATAAAGCACTGGCACTCGAAAAATTCAACCATGGAAGTCACATAAGTCGGTTTTGTTTGGTTAATTTTTACCCAAATATACTGTCAACTTTAATTATTGCTGTATTGAACACATATCAATTTGTTAAGATAGCGTCAGAAGCCGAGTTTCGTATAACCAAAAAGACCCTGTAACATATGGTTTTTTATATCTATAAGTTTGCCACAATACAGGCCACTTTATAAAGTCCACGTATGAAATTTCGACAAGATTAGTTCTCAACTAATCAAGCAACAGCTATACGTCAATGGGTAATACGATCGTATACCTTACTATGAAAGGTTTTTAAGAAATCCGAAAATTTCTATGTCAATAGGTTAAAACGATGTAAAACTTACACTATGTTTAAGTATTAAGATTAGGTTTATTTATTTAAAACACTATCAAACTAACTACTAAAAGATGATAGATTGTTTATTAGTTAGTCAACCGTAAAAACACCTTTTGAGGCTCATTGTAACTACATCTATTAGGTTTAGTTAGTCTTCTCCATTTGACATATTCATAGTTTTCAGTTCCTACCCAACTGATTTTAAAAGTGGATTTTATAAATCAAAATCGTCTATAGAATTTAGCAAACCATAGTAACATAAATATAGACAAAACTCATTAAAACCCTTGAATGTTACGGTTGTAAAAGAGCTCATCGTGTGAAACATTTTTAAAACATGTACCAAACAAAACAAATTAAATTTTTAGACTCATTTGGACACAACATATTAATTCTTAACAAGCGAAATTAAAGTATACATTAAAAAGTTCTTAATAATAAAAAATATAGCTAAAACAAAACGCTACAAGCTTATAATGCGAATAAAAAACAAGCAAAACATTTATAAATTTCATCTCATGGCCATAGCGATAAGAGAAAGAGATCTGGTATCAATAATCCTTAAGTGATGTTCTTGAAAAACAATGCAATTCTTATTGTTATAAGATACAATCGAACCTGGAGAAGCTGGAACCTCTAAAAGCGAGAAACTTGCCTGAGAAATGAGTCGGTCTCTTGGACTCTCGCAAATCCATTTTCGACTATATTCAAATATATTTAGCACTCTTGTTCGTTGCTCGAAAACATTCACTTTTTTTATATATTATACAATAATAACAAAAAGGCAAACTTCACAAAAAAGTTTTTTTTACCATTAACATGACATACATAGGCATTCCAAAAACTTGTGCCCTATTACCGTTGAAGCGAAAGTATAATTCGGAATAAAATATCAGTAATATAAATCTCTTTAGACCAAATTTTATTACGGTTTTCAGAACACACTGTGGTTAATTTTTTGTCATAAAAACAATTCAATACTGAGGTAAAGGAGGTATTCTTTTGATTGTTGATTGAGATTTATAAAACCACATAAAGACATAGAGTTATTAGACATGTAAAGAAATCGATTAGACAAATCAAATGACTTACCTATTAAAACTAATCAGAATATTGCTATAAATTAAATACAAAATACTTTAAATATTTCTTGGAAAACGTAGTTTTTTTTTATAGGCCATCAACCCCAATATATAGTTTCTATGCTTAACATATAATGATAGCTAAATTAACACTATATAGGCCATTGTTAAGTATATTGCATTGATAAACAATTATTGTGAGCAATCACTCATATTATTGGTATATAATGAATGATTAAACTCATATACAATTATATATCTCTTATAATATACTGATTATATATCAATAAGCCAAATAATAACTCTATGCCTACATATGGTGCCAATAAAAAGATTTGAATATAGCTAAGTGCGAATTCGAACAGTCCCATAACTAACGTCTACTATCTTGAACGAGCAAAAACTTATCCGCTCACTCGAACTATTCACTTGTAGTGATCGAGTTCGAGTAAGATTGTGTTCGTATACGCGCTTACTCTTTAGAACTGTTCGAGATCGAACACTCAGGCCCTTCGTACACAAGGCAACGTTGCATCTTCGGCACAAGTCGTCTATTAGTTTCGTACAGTTAGACAAAATGCATTCGCTTCGAGGCGATTCCATGGCGAAATTCAAAAATTTATAGAACTGACAATAACTTTCGATAAGTCATGCGAGTTTCGTGCGTCAATTTCATACATTATCGAATCGCTTTAAAGCGCTTTGTCTGACCCCCAGACATAGAGATCACGTCAACTGTATAGATTTACTCCGCCATCTTCGAAATCGCAACTTTTCTCATAACAATAATGACAAAGATGTTGTCAGCGACTGGTGATGGCCATAAACAAAATGTCGGTGGCTGTGTACCTTTGTGACAATGTGTTGGATAAGTCGCTTTTCGACGTAAATAGTCGGGTTCAAGATTTACTTTATCTTGTGTACAAAGGGCGTTATTCGAGTTAATAATCTCTTACTCGAATTGTCCTAGTGCGAACGCGTCCATAACTTTGGGCACATGTTCGTCGATGCCGACTATATCGAGGATGCCGTTGTGTGAACCGTCGGTTGTCATCACGCGGAGCGACGCGAGGGACATCACGATCAATCTAATAACAAACAATAAATAGTAATATAGAACAACAGACAAGGATTTGCCGATTGACAATAATCACTATTTGTGATACATCATATAATAATCATCATCACATTTCATGATTGTTTATTTCACATCATTCTATCATATTTTGACCATTTCTTTAGAACTGACAAAATTCCATATTCATATTAAAATTCGTTGAGTATACTACACTAATGTAGCACTGCTGCATTTATTGTATTTAAATGTGTCCTTTAGTGTAGATTTAATACGAGAAAATTACACTAAGGGTCTGCAAAAGTTCTCTGTAATATATTTAAGTTGTCCATAAAGCTTATCTCATAACAAGACTCACTTAGCATCGTGTACGTATTGAGCACGGTAACGCTGCAGCGCACGCGCAGGGCAGTGGTCGACGAGCTCTGAGCCGGCCGGGGGCGGGGGGGCATACTTGCCGCCAGGACCACGCCCTCCTCGCTCCTTCAGGTCCAGCTCCATGTAACGCGTAGTACGGTCCACCATGTTGATGAACACATCAAACTTCCTATTGTTATTGCGAGCCCACTCTATAGGCGCGTCCAACTGGACCTTTCCGAGATTCGATTTCTACAATATTTACAAAATAGTTAAGATATTTTTTTTATGATTTAAGATCTTTTATTTTTAAAATAGGCTTAAGAGCTTTCAAATTAAAGAATTTCTAAAATAGGTGTAATAACATTATTAGCCAATTTAAGTGACTCACTGTGGGTGTCTCAAAATTCCCGTTTAAAACGTTGAAAGGGATGACAATATTTTATACAGAGATTTTGTTCTCTGAAATCAATGTTTAGTTATGTACTTACCCTCAATACAAACTCAGTTTCACTGATGGTACTGAAATTGGGATCAATTTTGACGAGTTCAATGCCGGCGTCAGTGAACACAGCCAAGTTGACATTCTTCTCTCGCTTCAGTAGTTGTAGAGCAAGAATTATTGCTGAAACAAATATTTTTTATCATTCTTATGATCAATTAATTCAATAAACATGTCACAGTTAAGTTATAAGTGCTTTTGGTAAGAAATTATATAAGCAAAGCAAAATTTTGGTGTTGTTCAAAATGTTAATTGGTATTTTTAATATATAGGCTTTGTTTTTAATTAACTCCACTCCATCCGCGCGGAATTTAAAAAAAACATAATTAGTAGCCTATGTGTTCTTCCAGACTATATCTATATATATATCAAATTTCATTGAGATCCATTCAGCCGTTTTGGAGATACCTTCAAACAAACATCCGTCCATCCATCAATCCATCTAAACATTCGCATTTATAATATTAATAAGGAGTAAGACATAACACGATGGTTTCGACTAGGAATTTAATAAAAAAAAAATTGTGACTTCGTTGTAATTCATCACAAAAATAAGAATTATCCTAAATTAAAAAAAAATATCTCACCAGCATGTCCGGGTGTAATATTTCTATTGAAGAAGCACTCAGCGGACAAGCGCTTCTTGCTGCCCACTTTAACCGTATCAGCATCCCCACCGCCGCCCGGCGACGTTTTAGTCACCGTCTTTTTACCTTTCTTTGGTACTGTAAAGTTTTTGCAGAAGTGACGACCTGTAAGTAAATACATACACACATAACATAAATTATAATCTCCAGAATTTAATAAATGGCTCGAATGATTACAAGAAATTTTATTTATTCTCTTAGGTAGTTTTTAGCCGATTGTATAAAGTTGTAAGTTATCTTTCGCGGCCGTTACTTATACCATTATGATCCTGCCCTTATCCTTATAGAGGGTTGGCACAGTATGTACTGCTCCTCCATACATCTCTATCGCCATATCGGAATTCACACAATACTTTGTTTATGATGGTACCTTTTGCATGCTTTAGATATGAAAGAAATTACCTTTAAACATATGGTGTCTCATATCCAAGGTGATTAGGTAGCGGACATTAGTGGGTGGTGTGAGCAGCCATGTGTGGTCAATCAGTTTCTGCATTGCATCAATCACCAATTGGTTCGGCTGCTTTTCAATACCTTGAAAAAACATTCATTATATATTTATATAATCTCAACTTTAAGTAATTAGGTTCAGAACTAGCTAAGTAGTACTTACCCCATGTCTTGACTTCTTTAGGATGTCTTCTGGTGACAGTCCACAGCCACTCGCCGGTCTCGTTGTCGAACTCCTGTCGCAAGCGACGACGAGTCGCCTTATCGATCGCTACTTTAGCCTTCTGGCTTTTGAGAGGTCTAAAATAAAAAGAAAATTAATGTTTTTGAAAGATGTTAAGGTCATTGACTAATCAACAATCACTTTTTATATATAATATATAACCAGAAATTGATACTACAATCTGGATTGGTGCTGGATCATAATCAGTGAGAAGATCCTCTTTTCTAAATCTGTATCATTAAAAAAAAACAAATATTATAATAACATTGTTATGTAATATTCTACAACTTACTTTGATTTCTTCTGATAATTGACCATTGTAATATAAACAGCAAGGGGAGTAACTTGTGATTTCTTGATAACATTTTTATCACTCAGCATAGAAACAATAATAGCAGTTGTTGTTGAATCAGCAGCTAAGAAACCCATGTTATGGATACGTTGGATATTCAACAACACATCTTCAAGTGAAAGTTGTGGTAAAACTGCATTCCAGACCTAGATAAATAAAACATTTGCTAATTAAAGCGATTGTATACTAGCTGTCGACCGCGACTCTGTCCGCGCGAAATTAAAAAAAAATAGCCTTTGTGTTCTTTCAGACTATGCTCTACATCTGTGCTAAATTCCAGCAAGACACAGCCTTTCTTGAAATTTAAACAAACATCCATCCATCGATCTAAGCATACGCTTTTATAATGTTAGTAAGATTTATGTGTTGCAACGAAAAGAAATTTAGTAAAGAAATTTGCTATGACATAAACAATATTAGAACATTAATGAGTATACAAGTATACAAATTCTGTCTAAATTACACATATTTTTCATACAACAATTTCAAGCAGTCAAATTTTACCTCCTGTGATGTAAGTAGATGTCCTGGAACATGATCAAGTGTAAATGAGTTCTTTCGGACAATTGCTGCCGCAGCTACTGGGTCTTCACATCGACGAAAGTCTTCAACTTTTTGAATGTAATCAAAAATTTCCTTTGTTCCTTCAGCATTATCAACCAGTTGCTTAGCCCGCTTTAAACCAAAAAGCCCGTATTTTATAACTGCTCCACGCGCTGTAAGCAAGTCCATCAAAATTAGGATTAACTCTGTATCTTCATGACTAAAGTAAACACAAAATAATTAAAATCAATAGTAAAAACTCACCATGATCATTTTCAGCAATTTTTACATGAGATTTACGGAGCAGAGTTTTATGTGACCGGCCATGTCTTGATTTAACTCTTGTTAATTCCTTTGCAAGTTCCATTGGTTCTTTCTTCAAATACCACTCTCTAACATGTTTGCACCAACCTCGACCATTACCTGAACAAATAAATTACCTTTATAATTTCTCGAGTTGTATACATATTAAAAGAATAAATAAAAGTTATTTTTAATTAATGAGTAAACATGACTTCTTGAATATTTATATCAAACTTACCAGTTTTTAAAACCCATGTGAAATTGTTGAATATCATTAACTGTTCAGCACTGACACATATTTCAGATGCAGCTTTATATGTTGCCTCTTTTACAGCAGGTGAACCATGTAATAGGCATTTAGTTAAAGCAAATGCAATTGTTTCAAATCTAGTACACCAACCTTGTTTGTATGCCTTAAATTAAACAAAATCAGATATTAAAGTAAACATGTGTTTTTAATTTTCAATTAAATTTATAGAATACCATTACAGATACAATTTTAGATAAACCTAGTAGAGTACTGAATAGTGAACATATTGAAAGATCCTTCGCTATGCATATCTTCGCTGTGTAGCTGAGCATTTGAGCATTATTTATTGCAGGTGGCAGTACCGAAAAACACAATCAATAGAACAATTAAATAATTTTCATCTCACAAATCAAATAATGACACAAAGAAATTAGCTACTCAATCCTAATATAATTCTATGAAAATTGAAACCTGTAGTTTTGTAAGGAAACATTTGTTTTTGCACAAATTTGAGTCTACATCCTTACCAATGTTGTAACACATTTTGTTATTACAGTATGAAAAGTACTGTATAGATATTTAACTGTTACAATCACACTGTTTATAAATAAATTTTAAGCAAAAATACCACATGCTTATTGTTATTTTTATAATAAACCATTTTGGACATTAAAATTTCTACTTATAAGGTATAATAAATGCATTCATACAATTCCAATCTTAAGTATTATGCACAATATACAAAGATTTCATTTTAAAATAAAAACATTTTTAATCATGAGTTAAGATTTGTAAAGTAACTTACCTTAAGAATTATATCGACAACCTCAGTATTATTAGACCCATTTGCGAGCGCATAATCTATTGCTTTCAACTTAGACACATCATAATAGTCATGAGATGACCAGCAGCCAGGGTAATACTTAGGCTCTTCTCTTCCCAGGTGAAGAAATCTTGTTAATTGGTTTCGAAGTTCGGAACGAAGTTTTGTTGACTCCATTATTTGAGTTTACCTCTTCGCCTATGATTTCAATCACGGCGATGTCTTTCAAAATATTGTGTTCGTAACATTCACTGACATTCGGACGTTGCCGTAAAACTGTGTAAAAACGAACAATGACAAACGTAAATGTACTGATCTAGAAATCTATTAATTTTTTGTCGGTAGTCAAGCGAGACATGTGGTATAAAACAAATTGAGGATGTGGCCAGAAAAAATTGACAATGGAGGCGGTTTCAATATGGGTTTGCACGGCATTTACGAAGTGTTTTAAGCTCGATTAATGTAGCATAGAAATGTAGACCAATTAAGTAATTAACAATGACTTAATGATAACAAAATAGTTTCAAATATACGAAATAATTATGAGTTTCCTACCTTGTTCGTTTTTATACAACTTTTCTATTTGACGGAATGAGGAATGACGGATGTATGGCAAAGACTATAAATGTAAAATGTTTAATTTTATGACCTGGTAACATAGACCTTTAGGTCACGTTTGATTTAAATTTACTTTTTGTCAAAGAGTAAACGTAACACTTGAAGATATTTGATTGATATTTTTTACAATGACATTGACATAAATCAAAACATCACAAAAGTGCAAATAAAGAGAGAGAAATATAATTCAATACTAATAAATTAACACCATAAATATAAACTTTGGTATATTTTACATTTTTTTATAGAAGTTTATCGTTTTCTTTGTTCATACAAAGTAGTATCCCCGCTCTGTTTGGCAGTGTAGTGAAGTATCTTAAAAACCGAAGTATACGAATATAAGTGAACTTTTATATAGAAAGAAATCTAAGTACCAAAGCTACCTTCTTACTCTAGAATCACATCGCCTAATTAAGGCAAAAAAGAAATAAAGTATAATTTGTAAATAAATCACATGAGTTTAAATTTGGAGGAAGTAAACGAAACTCAACAACTCATGCAAAATGAATGTGAAGAACAGAAAATATTGTCACAAACTGCTACATCGCCGGTTACAAGTAATAAATTGTCCAGCGGAGCAGCAAGCCTTACGTCCAGAAATCATGGTCCTGGTCAATTGTTCACAAGTACGGGAAATAACAGTGTAAACGAATCTAAATTGTCATATGTCAATGAGCGTAGATTACATCGTGATTATGTACGTTCTAATTATAATAATAAACCAAAGCATATACCAAAAGAGGCACCTGATGTTAAGCATATGGAAAAAGCATTACTGGAGCTACTAGATGATTTTCACACAGGAAAATTAAGTGCATTTGGTTCTGGTTGTAGCATGGAACAAATGATCAATATAAGGGATCAGCAAGAGCATTTAGCTAGATTACATTTTCGTTTGTACGGTGATGCAGAGAAACCCACTGAAGATGGCTTTGACAACTCGGATTCTAAAGACAAAATGTCCCAATTGGTACAAAGCTTGGAGCAATTGTCAGCTTCCATAGAGCATTTACATTCTGATGCTTCCGCCAATACCAGCTGTAGTAACAATAGCTAAATATTTCATATGTTAACCTTAATTTAATTATAAGAATATGGGTATAAGATATATTCTGTAGTTTGTTATTCTTGGTGATCAGTAAAGTATTATGCATGAATAAATATTCACTAAAAAACTGAGTTTTATTTGACACATATAATATTGAAATGTATTTTAAGTCAATACAAAATCATATTGCAACAATTAGAAGTAAATTGTATTTTATACTAATTGTTGCAATATGATTTTGTATGTTGCTGTTGACTGTGACTCCGTCTATGCAATATTAAAATAAAGTATAATAAATAAAAAGCCTATGTGTTCTTCCAGGCTTTGTTCTAGATTAATCCAAACATTCGCATTTATAACTAAGATTGTCAGTGTTTTTAAATAATTGCAGTAGGTTTCCTTATTTGCATGTGATTTAGCAGAAATACAGATATACTGTAATGCTGTTATTGTCAATGTAACAAAGAAAACCTATTGTATTTTGTTATAATAATATAATAAATTGACTTAGACATGGTGGAATTTTTTGGAATGTCCTCTAGGGAAATTTTATAAAAAAGCAGATTCAAAGATTTTTAAAAATGTGAAGTCCATTACAAACTTTATGTTTCAAGTACAAAGTGTTAGGCAATTTCACTGCCAAAAATAAGTATGGTAGTTAGTAAACACTTGTAGCATATAAAATGCAGGTGATGGCCACGCGGCGACTTGCTTGCTGTTGAAAGTTTGATGGTAGCTACTGGGTAGTCGATATCCAGCGTGTCGTGGCTTATGTAAGCGAGGTTGTCGCGGCTAAGTGTAGCGGCGTAGCAGCGTAACAGCGTAGCGGCTACGGTCAGTCGCACTCTACGGCGCGTTGGTGCGGGCGTGCGAATCGGTTTGTATAGCGCACCCCGCCCTGCTCAAAACTCAAACCCGAAATGTAATATTTTGAAATAAAAGTTTTTCTTTCACTATTTTACTGAGAATCCCCATGTAAAATTTTACAAAATCATTGCTTTTTTTAAGTGGGAAAAAGTTTCGAGTAGAGTCAATAAGTTATACAGCTTTTTGTTGTTTTCAAACGACAGGCGGTAATTTGGTTATCGCCGATTGTTACTTTAAAATAACTTTTATTTTTATTTTCCTAATAAAATATTTACCATTTTACATACATCACATAAATAGTAATTTATGTTTTCATTTAACGTGTTGTAATTAACGCAAAAAAAATATTGTTGAGTACCGAATATCTTTAAGCTAAGGGGAATTAAAATTGCGTAGCCACATTAAATTTAAATATACGTATAAAACATAGCACTTGTTGCGCTTTACAAGACGCAATACAAATAATACATATGAATTTCATACATCAAGCAAGCGTAGAGAAATTAATAATCTCACAAAAGTTGTAATTTGTGAGAATGCAGAAAGCTCATTTAGTTCTGCATTATTTGTGGTTATGACTTTTTCCCTACAGACGCAATGTTTAATCATTATTATTGAAATTAAAATAATTATTAAAAAAATATACGTAATTAAAGTAACAAACAAAACATGTTATGAAACAAACTAAGTTAAGAAAATATAAAACATTTATATTATACATATCTTAGGTCTTTGTAAACTTTACTCCGATTGCCGGGTAATTTAATAATTTTAATAACTCTTTTACGTAAACAAATAAAAATTTAAAAGTAACTTTTAAAAACTTATAATAAATTGGAAAAAGTATGTGATTATTGACAATTGGTTATCGTTCAGATGAAATGGAGAAAAGACAAGAAGAGGGCAGAATAAGAGCAGCTTTGCCTGAAGATCCAGGTAAGGACATTTAAGATAAAATAGCAACAATAGTGTTAAATGTAGTGACGCTCAAGAAATATCTCATTCTGGGAGCCTATTTTTCTTTACTGCTAATATAGAGTGACTTAAGATCTCAATTCACTATGTTATAAATAGTCTAGCTGTCGTCCGCGACTTCGTCTGCGCGGAATTAAAAAAACGTAATAAGTAGCCTATGTGTTTTTCCAGACTATTTATTTTTCATGTTCTACATGTATGCCAAATTTGAGTGGGATCCGTTTAGACGTTCTGGAGAAAGCTTCTAACAAACATCTATCCATCCATCCATCTATACATTCGCATTTATAATATTAGTAAGATAGATCGATGATCTCCTTGTTTGTAGCGCTTAGGTAAGTTTGCCGAAAGTCTTTGGACCCTTAGGTCTTTCCATAAAAAATAGGTTTCAATTGAAAACGATAATGCGTTTCAACGAGGTATAAACAACAGGAGATAAAAGGAAACACTTTAGGAATACACAAAATCGATTCGGAGTTATTTTGTTTGAAATGACAGGATAAATTAGGATTGGAGGGCTTTGGGAGCATATAGGTCGCAAAGACAATTTCATCAATTACGAAAAATTAGGCCATGGCTATATTTCCTGATTTTTTTTGGATATAGTGTTTGGTAATCATTTTATTTTGTTAGTATTGGCAATTATTTCAATGGAAAGGTACATAATATTATTTATTAGCCTGATAGGGTACAGTCTTATGAAATAAGAGATTTGCTTGCGGTCTGCGGTTTGCCGCGACCAATAGTTGATTAAATTTGTAAATCTAGCACGATATATCAATGTCGTGGCGGGTAGTTAAATATTTTTATATTAGCAACGCAGTTACTGTTTGTTAAAATGAAGTTTAGCATATTCGGCCTCTTTGGTAGCTCAGGAGTTTGAAATTACCACAGACGCTGGCTATTTAGAATACTTTAAACTTTTTACTTTATTTAACAATGAGAATAGAATCGCGCGTAGTGAACGAAAAGCAACGTTACAATGTAAGTCAAAAATCCCTTATTTTTGGTTGCTGAGCTGTTTGTTTGGAATTTATTTAGTTCTTGTGAATGGGCCCATTAGATTTTATTTAGTTACGGAATGCTATATACTGCGGACGAGAGCGAAAGCGTGCCCGTGGTCCCGTCCCGATGCGTTGGAGGAACAGAGGCGTTTAGTGGGTATGCCTCCGTTATGGAGGAGAATCCCACATAACTACCGCGTCCCCCACGGGGCGCGGAGTATGCATAAAGCATTCCCCTCTGAAAAAAAGGCTATATACTAATAAATGGTAGATGCACGCACACGTACATACACACCCATTATATGCATGTCAATTTGACCTTCTTCTTAATGGAATTTAAGAAGTATGTATGTAATTGTTACCAAGCAATCCAAATACTTACAAATCATTACGTGAAAAGGTCAATACTGAGTTATTCATTTATTCATTTGCGTCGTACGCCGCCGTCGACTTTCCAGGCGGTCTATTTGTCTAGCTGACACATTTCTTTGCTATTGTAACGGTTAGAAAGATTTTTCGTATAAAGTTACTTTATATTTGAAAATAGAACAAATTACGTTATTTGTTTATTCCCAATTATTGTCCTACGTCTTTTATTTTCTAGTGACCTATTATTGATATTCTTGGAATCTCTTGATTTTGGAACGTAAACTATTAGAGATTTTTTGCCTATTCCGAGATAGTTATGGTTAATCTTTTGGTCCAAATCAGTCGAGAATCATTCGAATATTATGAGCCTTTGTTTCTTCTATAATATATTTTAATAAGCCATGGTTGATCTTTAATTTAAAAGTTATTTCTCGGTAAAAAACACTTCTTTTTCTTCATTTTACACTATTAATATATAGATATATGGATGAGTAATATAATTAAGCTTACCTGGAAAACTCTGGAGCGGTGTGTTCTAAATATTACTTACTAACGAAAGCTTAGAGTTCCCGAGGCGTTGTAATTAAAATAAATTGCGCGAAGTGCTTGCATACTGTTATATTAACAAAATTATACGCAGATATTTAGAAATTTAAACTACTTTATAAAAGTTTACATCTTGGGTTTTTAAATATTCAAAGAATTTTACCCTGTTCACTATTTTTTTCATTCATAATATTGTGTAAAATTCAAGTATACAAAGCTAGTAACGACAATATTGTATACGTCCCGGAGGCCTAATTTAGTCCTTTTTCAAGCTATGTCAAGTGAAGTCTTCCAACCCGCTCTTGGCCAGCGTGGTTGACTATGGCCTAGTCACCCCTAACTTAGGGTAGGCTCCAAGCCCTTTTGTGGGGACGTATATAGTGAGCTGATGATGATATACTAATTGATTTTCAACATGAAACATTAGGTTATTATAATTTACAAATCCCGAGCTTTATGGTGACAGATATTTAATCAAGTTGAAGAAAAACATACAGAATACTAAGAATAAAAATGTCACAGGTAAAAAAACTAATAAAAATGTAATAAAGTATAAAACCTTCAGAATGCGGCTACTCATAAAAAATAATTGGATAAGCTGTACAGACTTACACGTGGATCGTATTTTTCCAATGTTTTTTGTTACTTGAAAAAATATTATTTTTTGGTTACCACATAGTTTTCACAATACATCAAAAATGGTACATATAATGTTACACTGCTACATTGAAGTATATATTTTTTTCTTTATACCTTTTCCCATACCTATACAGTGCATGATTGGACAAATGTAAATATTTTAGTCTCACTATATACAAATATGTCATGTGCCATATGCCTTGACCATAATTTTAACTTATCTTACCAATGTTACGAATGTGAAAGCTTAGATAGATGGGTGGATTGCTCAATGGATTTTTATGAAATTACGCATGGATGTAGAACATATCTGAAAGAACGCATAGGCCACTAATAAAGTTTTTTTAAATTCCGCGCCGACAGAGTAGCGGGTGACAGCATTACATTATTAAGCTCTTTTGTAAGGACATCCTGGAATCTAATAAAATCTATTTAATTTCGCAGAATATAAAGCTTAACGTATATAAGATGATTTTCATTATTTAGTGTAAATGTACGAGAAAAGGTTTTTGAATACGACAGAAAAATTAGAAGAATAAAGCAATTTATACCCGTAATAAGTTGTTGCAATCTTTTTAACTCACGAGTGGATGAAAGCTTTCATTTGTTAGTTTGCTTCAAAGTAGAAAATTGCTTTTTAGTTCATTGAGATAAAGTGAGAAAGAAGTTATTATGCGAAGCATTTATCGTGCTGTTCAATTCTGAAAATATAACATGT